AGAGGTCTTGGAGTCCTGGTTGATGCAAAAAATGAACATGAGTTGCCAGTGTGACAAGGTAATAAGCAAGGCTAACCGCACTCTTTCTTGCATCAGCAGGAGTATCATGAGCAGGTCTAGGAAAGTGAGAAGTCCCCTCTATGCAGCACGGGTGAGGCCGCAGCTGGAGTACTGCGTCCAGTTTTGGGTGCTGCATTTCAAGAGGGATGAGGATGACCTTGAGAAGGTTCAGAGGAGGGCTACTCGTATGGTTGAGGGCCTGCAGGTAAGACCCTATGAAGACAGACTGAGGGATCTGAATCTCTTCAGCCTCCATAAGAGAAGGCTGAGGGGAATTTGTGGCTGCCTACAAACTCATTGGGGGGGCCAGCATGGAATAGGGGACACTGTGTTTACCAGGGTGCCCCTCAGGGTTACCTGAAATAATGGCCACAAACTGAAGAAGAACAGATTTAGATTGGACATAAGGAAGACATCCTTTACGGTAAGGGTTGCCAAAATATGGAATGGGCTTCCAAGGGAGGTAGTGCTTTCCTCTTCCCTGGAGATGTTCAAGAGGAGATTAGACATGCTTCTCATTGGGGTTACCTAACCCCAGCACACTTTCCTGCCTGGAGCAGGGTCAGACACGAAGATCTACCAGGTCCCTTCCAACTCTAGAAATCTATGAAATCTATGTTCTTTATGGTGTCTGTTTTATCTTGATATTCTTGTCACTTTCCTGTTTTTAAGTTGTTCTGTTTTCTTATTGTAAGCCATCCTGAGTCTTTATTGGGAAGGGCAGCATATAAATCAAATACAAGAATAAAAATAAACAAAGACATATTTTTGTGAGTAGCATTAGTTTATTTAACTACTGTAGGCAAAATGAAGAAGTTTAACATACTAGGCTCAGAATTTTTTATATATAAGTTCAGGAGTCAGGAAAGGAAGACAAATGGATGAAGTTAGATATAATAAATTCTAATAGCAACTTCATCATTATGCATGCCATGTGGTGTACAATTAGAAATTTATTGAAGCATATTCCTTTTCCCCAGTTTCACAACCTAGAAATGTAATTCATAATATATTTTTCTTGAAATTCATTATATGTAAGTAAGAGGCATAATGACAATAATTATACCAAAGGAACAATTTATTCTAGGGCATTAAGGAAGTAACTATAAAAAAAAAATACTAATTCAACTGAAGACGTACATTAGGATGTTTGAATTAAACAGCTACTGATTCATAAATTAGGAAATACACAAATCAAAGGTATGTGCACAACTTTAACTCTGCTCTGCCAGTGGTATGCATTACCATACTGTTTTGACCTCATTGCTCATATGTGGTATCTGAAATAGAACATCATACTTTTTTTTCTGTAACCTAGATGCATATTGTAGTTTCTCCTACTGATATATTCTATTCTGTTTATGCTAAGGAGCCTTTGGAAGTTATTAATCTGTAAGGAGTTCATGGCACAGCTAGATTGTCTGCAATTAATGAGATCATAGGATCATAGTCAAGTAGGCCTGGAAGGAATCTCATGAGGTACAAAGGGACAGAGCGATAGGTGGAACCTGTTTTGTGGATTTCATTTTTTAACTTTGTTACAGGTTCCTGTTACAACATGGATGAAGTTGCTCAGTCACTCCAGATATGTCCACACTGGGGCAGCAGAGAGATCATTTGCATCTGAAGGACTAAGACATGAACATCTGCTCCTGCTCCATCTGCTAAAACCCCTGGAAATGACTTGGTGAGGATGTTCTGGGTTCCCCTCCTCACAGTGCCTAAAACTTGTGTTTCCAGCATACTTTGGACTGTTGGCTTTTACAGCATTGTTGCTGCCTTCTTTCTTGGTTTGATGTGTGTAGCACAGTGGAAATGGGTAAGGGGGTTATTTCCTGGCAGTGTGACTGAGCTCTCTGCTGCTGTGGTGGACATATGTCCTCAGTTAAGTTAACTTTTTTGCTTTTCTCTCCATTTATAAAATGGGGTTAATACTAGACTGGTCAAAATGTTTTTAGTGAACAATGCAGGCCCTGACAACAATGACATTTTCTTGAAAAAAATGGTTTTGATCGAGTTTTTATTTTTGTTGACATTTCCATTTCTAGATAATTGAAATATTTAAAAATATTAAGCAATTTTCATTTTAAAATTATGATAAATACCTCCTTCTTACCTTTGTTACTGATCCCATTTTGCACTGGAAAAAGACAGGAAAAAAATGGGAAGTGTTCGGGGAATACTTCAGTTTTGTATTTCCCCTTCTATCCATTTTTCCACTCACAGAAAGGGGGCAATATTTTTTTTTTAAATAAAAGGAATTTGGATTTTCATCAAAAAAGACATTTCAAACAAGCTGGAAAATATTTAGGGCTACATACAGACAGTCAAAAACCCTGAGATTGAATAGATTCAATCTTTGCAGGTTAGTCTAAACTGCATAGATTGAACTGATAAACAAGTGAACCGACATTCACTTTTGATTCTGGAAACACAGCCACATGCCTGCAGCAATCCAGGTCAGAAGCCAGAGGGTGCTAGAGCATGCCTCCCTGTTCACCTAGAGGAGACGGCTTGGGTCAATGTTGCCCACCCAACCTGTTAGGAGGGGTTTATGAGGTAGGTGCAAAGCATCATGGGATTCTGGGGGTACTGTGAGTTTATGTGACTCTGGAGGGGATCTGGGACAGAAGTTCAATAAACCAATTTAACCTAAAACAGTTAAGTCTGATACAACATCAATCCAGGTTTATCTTAAACTGGTTTCAGCCATTTTGAAAGCAGTTTATGTGCAGTGAACTTTTGTTGTGTTACACATTTGAAACCAGTTTCCAATCACTTATACTGGTTCATGTGTAATTTCTTTCCCTAGCCTAAATGTGTTAGAAATATTTTGTGAAATAGATGTACTTTGCTTCTCTCAGGTCCTGGATAAAACTGTCAGCCCAAGGAAGTGCTTAGGATAAATTCATTAATATTGCTAAAGTGCATTGTGTTCCTTAGATGGAAACCAGAAAAGGATTTTAAAAAATAGTATTTTATGATAATCTACAGGCCACATCCAGCACTCTTGCAGCCTCTTCCTGCTAAATGGTAAAGATGTCAATTATTGCCTGAAGGTCTGCTTCTGAGTGAGCACACACCACAGCATCATTAACATGCTGGAGTTCAATCATTGAGGTCAGGATGGTCCTGGTTTTGACTCAAAGTCAGCTGAGGTTTACCATTCATTTGGTAGCTTATCTCCACTCTGATTGGAAGCTTGTTGGTGATCTGATGTAGCATTGTGGCATAGAATATTGGGAAGAGGGTTGGAATGATGATGCAACCTTGCTTAACTTCCATTTTAACCTAAAAGGGATCTGTGATAGATTCATTACTGAGAACCACTGATTATGTATTGTCATGGAGCAGGCAGAGAATGGTGATGAATTTGAGTGGGTATCCATACTTCAGAAGGATCCTCCATAACACTTCTCAGCTGTCAGAGCCAAAAGCTTTTATGAAGTCAAAGAACGCCATGCAAAAAGGCTTATGTTGTTCCTGGCGTTTCTCTTCCAGCCGGTGAGCTGTGAAGATCATGTTAGTTGTATTTATTGATGGCCTAAACCAGGGGTTAGCAACACCCAGCTCATGTGCCGAGCACGGCACGTGGGGCCATTTTGCTCAGCAGCTACTGCCAGTCACGAAGCCCGGGCTGACCCCAGCAGGCAGCTGGGTGGCTGCAAGCCCTGCTGCAAGCAGACCAGGCTCCATGGTTGGCAGCAGCTACCCAGAGCCTGGGCCACTTGCAGCCAGGAGGCTGCAAACATCTGCTCCGGGCACCGGCGTTAGCTCCATATTGGTGGGTGCATGTGTGCCTCAGAGTGGACCGTGGGGGAGTGGCATGAGGCAGTGCAACCCCAGCTTCTCCCCCGCAGCCAGCATAGGGCTGATGACTGGACTCTGGAGACTGGCACAGCTGTTTGTAGTCAGCCTGGGCTCTGAGCAGCTGCAGTAGGTGACAGGCAGGCTGCAAACAACTGTGCCGGGCTCCACAGCCCTGGCAACAGCTTCATGCTAGCGGCGACTGCACGTGCACCTCAAAGCGGACAGAGGGAGGGTTGTGCTGCCTTAGGCCCTATCCCCACTGTCTGCTCTGAGGCACATGTGCACCTGCCAGTATGGAGCTGATGTCAGAGCCTGGAGCAGCTGTTTGCAGCCTCCTGACTTCAGCTGGCCCAGGCTCTAGTAGCTGCTGCCAACCACAGAGGCCAGGCTGCTTGCAGAAGGGCTTGCAGCTCAGCCTGCCTGACTTTCACCCGCTCTGAGCCCAGCCCCAGCCCAGCCCCCCACCAGGATGAGGCTGGCACTGCCCCTTGCCAGGAGCATGGCACCTTTTGCGGGCTTAGCTGTGCAGGGTGAGTGGGTGGTTGGGCTGATGGGCAGGCTCCGGGCTGGGGCCTCAGCTAGCTGCGCTGCAGCCTGGGCCCCGGGGAAGCACAGGGGCTCTGGCAGGACCAGGGCATTGTTGGGTCAGACTTTGTCCAGTGGCCCAGGAGCCTGGCTGTATGCATCCGTGCATCTGGTTCTCTGTGTTTGTCTGCTTCTGTCTGGTTCTTTGTGCCTGTGTGTGGACACGTGTCTGGTTCTGGATGTGTGTGTGCATGTGTCTGTTCTGGGTATGTTCCGGTTTTTCATAGATTTCATAGACATTTGGGCTGGAAGGGACTTCAGAAGATCATAGAGTCCAGCCCTCTGCCCCAGGGGCAGGAAGTCAGCAGGGATCATAGGATCCCAGCAAGATAAACATCCAAATGTCTCTTGAAGGCGTTCTGACTAGGTGCTTGAACCACCTCCGGCGGCAATCTATTCCAAACCTTGGTGGCTCGGACAGTAAAGTTCTTCCTTATGTCCAGCCTGAAATGGTCATGGAGGAGTTTGTGACTGTTCGACCTTGTCATCCCTTGGGGCTCTCTGGTGAACAGATGTTCCCCCAGATCCTGGTAAGCACCCCTGATAAACTTATAGGTGCCCACCAGATCACTCTTGAGCCTGCGCTTTTCCAGGCTGAAGAATCCCATGGCTCTCAGCCTGTCTTCATAAGGTCTGCTTTTCTGACCTCTGATCATGCACGTGGCTCTCCTCTGCACTCTCTCAAGCTTCTCCACATCCTTTTTGAATTGTGAAGCCCAAAACTGGACACAGTACTCCATCTGTGGCCTCACCAGGGCCAAGTACAATGGGAGAACAATGTCCTGGGATTTGCTTGAGAAGCATCTGTGGACGCAAGCAAGTGTTTTTCTTGCTTTACTAGCAGCAGTATCACATTGCAGGCTCATGTTCAACTTGTGGTCAGTCATAACCCCCAAGTCCCTTTCGTCTGTAGTGCTAACCAGCGTAGCACTCCCGAGCCTATAAGCACACTACAGGTTTTTCTTCCCAAGGTGGAGAACCTTGCATTTATCGGTGTTAAGCACCATCAGGTTCTCGTCCACCCATTTCCTGAGCCTGTCAAGGTCAGCCTGGACCACCCCCCTGTCCTCAGGTGTGGACACTTTTACCCCAAAGTTTGGTGTCATCAGCAAACTTGGCCAGTCCACTTCTGATATCAATGTCCACATCATTAATGAAGATGTTAAATAGTACAGTAATAGGTTTTCTGTGTTTGTGCATGTGGTTCTCTGTGTGCGTATGTGTGTGTCTGGTTCTCTCTCTGCTCTCCTTTTTCTTTTTCTTTCTCTTTCTCTCTCTCCTCTTTCTCTTATTTGTCTCTTTTCTCTCTCTTTCTCTCATTGCAACATGTTCAACAAAAAAGGAATACACAACAACAGAGGCAACATTTATGATTATTAAATATACGAATATGCAGTGTGTCCTGCCATTCCCCCACCTCCCCATTTTGTTTTTCTGGCATGCTGGCACTCTGGCACTGTCCAGGGTAGACGTTGTGGTTTTTTCGGCACTCCGGCCAAAAAACGTTGCCTACCCCTGCCCTAAACCCACACTGAGATTCTGGGAGGAGTTTTTCAGCACATGGAAGGAGACAGTTCAGGAGGGTTCTCTTTCCTATGGTGGACAGCAAGGTGATCCATCTGTAGTTTCCACAGTTGGACTTGTCTCCTTTCTTGAAGATTGTCACAATTATGGCATCCCTGAGGTTGTCTGGGACTTCCTCATCATTTCAGATCCTTAAGATGAGGGCATGAAGCTGTGATATGAGCTCCTGTCCACCCTGCTTGAAGAGTTTGGCAGGAACTCCATCTGCTACAGATGTCTTGTTGTTCTTCATGGCTTGATGGCTTTCCTCATCTCATCAATGGTTGGAGGGATTCCGAGATCATCTCTTTCTGGGTGTTACAGGATGGATTTGAGAACACTGTCATCAACAAGTCTTCATTAAGAAGGTCTTTAAAATGCTCATTCCAACAGGCATTGATGGCTCCCCTCTCCTTGATCAGGTCTTCTCCATCCCTAGGTCTTAAGGGGGTTGGTTCCTGAGTGCTCAGACATTGGATGGCTTTGGTGGGACTGAAGCATATTGTGGATGTCATTGAGATGTTGAGTCCACTTACCCTTGTTTTCCCACAATGTGTTCTTCATATCATGGGTCCTCCTTTGGACCTCTGCCTTGGCTTGTTGGAGATTCAGTTTCTTTTGCTTGGAGTTGGTGTTGTTTTGCCAAGTACAAAAGGCCTTGCACTTGTGATCGATCAACCCTGGGCTCTCCCAGTCATTCCCATAAGGCCAGTTTTGATGTTTCCTAGTACAGAATCCAAGTGTCTCTTCACAGGTGCTGATGACAGTGGCCTTAAGGGCACCCCACATGCTGCTGACATTCTCCCATTGTTGTTGATGGGAATTCACTGGTTTTTCATTGAGGTTTTTCACTGAGAGGCGTTGCTTGCTTGGGTCCTTGAGTCCTTCAGTGTTGTTCTGTTGGCATGCTACAGCTGTCATTTGGGAGCCAGTTTGAGTGACATAACCAAGCAGATGTGGGTGATCAG